ACCTCCCAGCCCACATCTGTCTACCTGCCGGCCCAGGCTTGTGGCTCGCCACTCCACTGTTTGCCGCAGTGCCTCCATGCTGAAGCCTTTAACAGTTTCTCCTTTGCTTTTTGCTGGCTCCAAGTCTCCAAGTTTCACAACGCTGTCCTACCCGTGGTGCCTCACAGCCCTGTCCCCGTTGGCATGGCCTTTCTCCAGGGTTTGCCTTTCATGCTGTTCGTCATAAAGTTCTTTCTAGTGCAGTTCCACTTCAGACACCAGTGCAGCATCAGCAAAGAATATGATGAAGGAAACAATACACTTTAAAGGCGAATGCTCTTTTAATTGAACAGGCAGTAAGGGAGAATTGCTAAAACGTCTGAAAGTCACTTCTAGCTATACACCTTCACCTGACAGTAGGCACCACATACCAAATTTAAATGCAAACAGACTGCAATGATTTTTGACCTGTATTCAATTGAAAAAAGTACAAAGACAAGATAATTAGTGATGAATTAACTTAATAGGTATATATTTGTATATATACACTCATTCTATGTTTGATGTTTGCAACATGTTCCAAAAAAGCTGAGACGGGGCATGTTCACCACTGTGTCATGTTCAGTAATAGTTAGGGATCTGAGGACACCAGTTGTTCTAGTTGTGATTTTTTTTCCCATTCTTGCTTAATGTAACACATGCAAAGTGGAGCAACTGTCTGCACTGCAAAAAAAGATACTAATTTAAAACAACTCATTTAAAACATGTGCATTCAGGGAGCACCATTCCCATCTTTTGCCTCAAGTCCCAGAATCACTAAATCCACCCCTGCTATCAACAGAAACCCCTAAAACACTCTTCTTATCCTCATCCATTTACAGTGACATGGCTGGCGTTGGTCTCCATAGACTGAGCTGGTTGATGTTAGCTAATTAGTGCAGGTTGTCCTCACCTTCAGTGTGATATATGCCTGCTGTTTTGAAGCCTGTGGAGCTCTGAGAGCGCTGAATCTTGACCCTCCGGCTGTGGGGAGAGCAGAAAAGACCACAAAGAGAAGGAAAAAAAAAAAAAGAAGCTCTCTTACCGTCCTCCATATCTTTATAGTTTTTGTTGAGAGTTTGAACTTGAAACGTGTTCTGCAGTGAGAAGACTCTGATGCAATAGTTGTCGAGTGTGATCTTTACAGCAGATTCATCTCATGTGTACCTGAGAAGCCCGTTGTTTCTGCAGTGTGGGAACTACGGCGAAAACCTAAAGCACAACTGCAAAAATACCCATACGCCAACGCCTTCACATTCTTAAAGTGCACATATTCTACATTTGTCTGCTGTTTCAATTTTTGTGGTTTCACACCCCAACCAAACGCATCCATATGTTTTATGACATCAAAAAAGACTTTTTTGGATTGGGCAGTGAATAGTAAGGCCCTGGTCGAATTACATGTTTTGTTGAAGTGAAAATATATTAGCGCATCCTCTACAGAGAACACACTTCTGCTCATTTTCATACACAATCAGTGTCCATTTGCTGAATTTAACACACTGGAAAAAAGACAAAACATAAAATGTGGCCTGTGTAAACTGATAAGGGGTGGCAAGGTAGCACAGTGGGTAGCGCTGTTGCCTCACAGCAAGAAGAGTCTGGGTTTGATCCCCTGGCCAAAGACTAAAGTCAGGCGAATTGGAGATGCTAAATTGCTTCTAGGTTTGAATGTGTCTGTCCTGCAAATGGACTGGCGACCTGTCCATGGTGTTACCTGCCTTCACTGCGATGACTGCTGGGATAGGGTCCAGCAGAAGGATTAGTGTAGGTCTAGCCTCCCCGGTGACCCAGAAGGATAAGTGTAGGGTGCAGCTCTCCCTGCGACCCAGAAGGATAAACGGCGTAGCGTGTGTGTGTATTATTATAAAAAAAAAAAACAATTTTTTGCAATATGTTAAACCCTGCAGAAAATCTGCAGAAAAATGGCATGTTTAAGTTTGCATGCGACAACTGAACTATGAGAAAATTCTATTCTAGTCTATTTCCTTTCTCTTGCATATGTGAATAAATGTATAATTCCATAAAGACCCATTCAGAACACATACTCCCACTTTCTGTGATTATGAACTATGTTTAAAATCCTAATCTACAAAAATGTTATGATCTTGTCGGCCTGCTTGTGAGCACTGTACTCACAATGTCCGCTGTAATGATGACAACTAGACCTTTTTTCTGGAGGGGCAGAAAACTTGTGATTGTGGTTTTGTCACAATAAAGAGATCTGCTGTTTTTGCTATCACGTTTTACACACTGTCATAAAACTGTTTAATTAGAAATGACACAAAAAACAAAAGAGATGCTATTCCCACCTGAAGCACTTACAGCTGAAGAGTTGGAAGCAATGTGGATTGGCTGGATCCAAAAAAAGACTTGTTTTGAAATTATATATATGCAAAGTACTAAAATGCTTATGGTGAAAAAACAGTTTCTTGCAATAGAAACGGTCTTCAGAGTGAATCTTGAGAAATATCTGTCCAGTTGCTGTGAAGATTTTCAGTTGATGTTGCAATGGGAATACAAGAAGACACATTCTGCTTGAACCTGTTTGACTATATAAAAAAAAATCTGTTCCATTTTACCAGGAACACGCGTAGACATTTTGTGGGGGAGGTGCTCAAAGGGAGAAAAGGGCAATCTGAATGAGAATGAAATTGAATTTAATTTAAAGCATAGCACACTGTATATATAGACCGTCATATCCAGAGAAACAGTTTAATCATGGTTCAGTGGAAAGCAGTGATAGGAGGGAATGGAACACCAGTCCTCCACATATAGGGCAATAGCATTAAACACTGCACCAACTACTTACTAGATATCTTTAAAAACTGTGTTCAGAATCAGTCCTGATTTACAAAAAAGTGGTTTAGCAAGTTATTAGCACCCCTTACTGCCAACATTGGTGGTTATTCAAAATAACAACAGTATGGAATGTGATGCTTTCCTCTAGAGACCTTTTCAGGGGTTTCTCTAACATTGTGGTGATGCGTGTATGCATGACAAGCCAAGGTCAACATGACAGGCCACAAACCCACTGAGGGGTAGAGTCCAATGGCAAGGGCAGGGGCTCAAGCCCCCCCCCCATTGTCTGTGCATGTGCCTGCATTTTAACCTATGCTAGGTCACTAGGTTTGTTCTGTCTCGGTTCCTACCACAGCAGGTAATCACAGCCCTTCATTACCTAACGCAGGTGGAATTCAAAAGCTAATAATAATCCAAATAGAACAAAAACATGCACTGGAATGAGCATCTCCAGTGCTCCTAAACATTTGGTCTGACTTCATTGTACCTATCTTTCAGAAGCTACCAAATAGCCTCTTGTGAGAAGGCTGAGGTCACTTGTCTTTCAGATTTCTAAAACACATTTTCTTCGGAATGAGGACTCCACTGTGGAGAAAGTTGTTGTGGAAAAATGTTTCTTTTGCTCATCTGAACTGATATTTTGCTTCATTTTAATCAAAGAATTTATTTGACTGCATTTTACTACACATTTTAAGGTTGAATGTTTTGAAGGTCAGTATTTTTTTACAACAGTTTCTGCTTGATCTGCAATGTGCCAGAAGAGAAACTAATAAGTATAAATAGATTAGTGTGGTGTTTATGATTTAAATGATACATGCTAATACCCATTATGGCCACTATTGAAGCGTATAAAATGTTTGTGCTCCATAATTCAGATTTTTCTACACAGCTCATCTATTGCTGAGATGTAAACAAAGTGATTCAGGGTGGCTTGATGTGACATGGCTCACTGTAGAGAAACCAAAACAATTCTTTACAGTGGTGAGGATACTAAGGAGCCCTGCTGATGACATCTCATTTAAATAAAAATAATGCGTGGCCATAACTTAGTGAGGCATGGGAATGAGATATTCAAGTCGTGGCCACCACTTAGTAAGGCGTGGGAACGAGTTCATGCCTTACTAAGCCGTGGTCACGCATTAGGATCTCATTCCCACGCCTTACTAAGTTGTGGCCACGCATTATTTTTCTTTATACAGGATGTCACCAGCGGGCTCCATATGATGCAAATATAACACAAAAATAAACAATTTTACACAAGTTTTTAGGTGTGAAATTTTTCTTTGAGGACAGTTTTGCCTTACTACTACCTGTAATTTATTTAAAATGTTTTAGCCTAAAACTTTATTTTAAAACTATCGTAAAAGTGTCTCAGGCATCAGGCAGTGTATTCATAACCATTTCATGTAATAACTCTGTGAGTGTGAGATGTTTACATCATATCCATTTAATTATGCAAAAAAATTGAGTCCCCTTTAAAACTGTGTAATTACAGATACTCTTCATGAACTCTTTTGAAGAGTCACTGTCAAACAGTGTTTCATAACTTTAGTCTAGGAGCCCTCCTGCTATCCCTCTTCTGACATACCAAAGTGAGATCATTAGCTAATTATCAACCCCTTCTTGAGCTGATAGCTGAAGGATTTCTGGTCTTTGCTCTGGGAAAGAGCAGCTAGCATACATGTCTCCGTGTCTTACAGATGGCTCTAATTCTGACACTGCTACCAGAGGCTCACTGGGAGAGCATCTATAAAAAGTAAGGATTCTAAAATCACACCTAATTTGCGAGGAAATCTGGTGTTTTGTCACCAAAAAGTGGAGAAGCTTGATTATCTGAAGACTGTTATTACCTGACAACACGTGTCCTGGAGAGAACTGCTGGCTATGTTAATGAGAACAAAGCTCATACTCTGGAGCAAACTGATACACACTGATGAGCTGCCGCTGACAGCTACAGCAACCTTTCCTGGCAAAGCCTCAAGCCTTTCCTTTGCAGGCCAACCGGCAGGGGAAAAGCATTTCCCACTAGAAGATCCTCTTCATCTTCTTCCGTGTCAAAAGACAAGACTGGGCAGAAAACCAGCAACAAAAATGCACAAGTTATTGATTTTGGTCTATTTTTTATGACTACATTGAAAAATAAATACTGTACTAAAATTACAACCAGCCAAGACAAGAGATCGTTTCAAAGTCTTTATTGATCATTACATATTAAGCTACAACTCCTTGTTTATTCGGTCTTGATTTTAACACAGATCTGTTCCACTGAATGACTTTTAGTAGGGAAGAGGGATAAACAAACCCAACGCTATCACGCTATCTCACTTTCATTGTTGTCTGGCTTTTCAACATACATGTTAAACTTGAAGCAATAACGTGATATTTGACAGACAGTGGGCTTAATCTGTTCTCTATAAGAACCAATTAATAACCCAACAGGGGAAATAAATGAGAACAGATTGAGCACAGAAAGTCATGTGGAACGTTTGACACATGGCACTAAAAAGACACACGAGTGGAAAAACTCGCACACACTCAGCATGTGGGTTGCGTTTTCAATTAGAATCCCGTCCTGTAATGAGCGTTACAGTGGGCTAGTGTGACCAAACAGCCTGAGTAATGTGATTACACCCACATCAAACAGTGTCACTGAGACTGCGGAGGCAGAGAGAGAGAGAGAGAGAGAGAGAGAGAGAGAGAGAGAGAGAGAGAGAGAGAGAGAGAGAGAGAGATGGTACATGGATCAAAAAATTGGGACTAATTTCTTAATAATGTCATAAAATAACCATCACTGTATCACTCTGAATTCTCAGTTCAGGTCAGTTTGTTGAAATCTGACGAGCCACAATCTGATGTTTGGTATCTGGAGTTCACTTTAGTTTTGCAATGGAACTATGAGGCTAACGTGGCTAATAATTTACGGAAGCTGACTGACGGATAGCACTGTGTAAAAAGCATAAATCATCACAAAACACTGTGGAGTTCTTAAGTGAACTGAAACAGACTTGCTTATGTGGTTTCTGACACTGAATGACACACTGCTGTCTATAATAATGGACATTAGCCTACTAGCTCTGGTGCAAACTTCAGAAACCACTTGGCTGATCAACTACATTTGAGGTAACTGTGTAAATTTAATATATTAATTTAACAGAAACAATGCTAAGTACATTTTTATGGCTAGCTGATTAAGATATTATTGCGCGGTTTCAATACTTTAACATGCCCTCGCCCACTTTGACTCAGCACTTGGATGTGCTTCATACCTATGTTACAAAAGTGACCACTCTTGGGAAGGAATGGGACAGTGAGAAGCAGATTATTCAGATGGAACCCTCAGCTAGGTTATCCTCAGTGAGCTAATCGGCTAACTATGTACACTGTTTATTGAGAAGTTTGCATATAACATACACAGATTTTGCTTGTCTGGCTGTAAGCTTTGGTGCAGAACCATGGTAGTGCCTGTCTTTGTTGTCATTAGCCGTGTAGCCTTTTGCATGCTAACTAGCAAGCTAGCAGAATAAAGTGATGACGCCGTATCAGGCATCATGTATAAGAGATGGAGTAGTTTGCAGCCTGAAGCTCATCAAATCAAATGCTATGATTTTGAAATGTTAAGCATTTTAAAGTAGTTTACTGTTATGGTTCATAAACAGCTTTGCACTCTGTGATGACACTCAATCCCTCGCCACTCTATCTTATCCTTCACTTCAACTAATACAGAAATGAAATGGTCCTTAAGATGGTGTTGGGGATTCCCCTTCTCACTTTCCCCAAAATGGACGAGGTCATATTACAACCAGCACTGAAGGTGGTATGATTTGCAAACTGACTCCAAGCGGTTGAGAATTTGCTGAAATTTTGGTGGGCGTAACATCTGGAGGATGTTTAAATCTATGTTCCTCTCCAAAGTGAGACATGCAGACACAAACACACATTACACACACCCTCCCTTCCGTGTGTATGTGTTACAGCCACTGTCGGATGACGTTGAGGGCGGTGTTGAAGGTGCTCAGAGCAGGGTGTGTTCCACGGTGGGCGAGCAGCAGGGCGCCGGCCTGAGCGCTGTGTCCAGCCTGGTGTAGTGCAGCAGCGGCCTCCTCAACTGACCAGCGGCCCTCAGCTAGCATGTGAGAGACCAGCGCTGGGTACAGAGCAGAGTCCACACAGCTGACCAACAGACCAGCGTCCAGCAACAGAGACAAGAGTTCTGAGTCACACACATCATCACTCACCTAGAGAGAGGCAGAGAGAGAGAAAGGGTTAGTTTGAGCGTGCATATGTACGTATGTACACATTATTGTTTTTGTTTTGTTGTTTATTTTTCCATCAATATTACTACTACAGTATTACAGAATCCTTTTCATTGCCTTTGGCAACAGTTGTTAATTACAGCTGATGCCAATAAAGGCATTTCAATAACAATTTGAGAGAGAAAGAGAGGACAAAGGACAAGAGCGGGAAAGAGGAAGAGAAAAGAATGGAAGGAGGAAAGGAGAGAAAGATGAAATGAGGTGAGATAAGGAGGAGAGAGAGAGAGAGAGAGAGAGAGAGAGAGAGAGAGAGAGAGAGAGAGAGAGAGAGAGAGAGAGAAAAAAGCCAACATAAACAAATTAACAAAGGCTGGGCAAAATCAATTTCAATATACACTTAAGCGCTACAAACAGTCGAGCAGGCACTGGACGCGGTGCTGTTTGTTTTGGTGCTATTGACTGGCAGGTTGATGAAAATGAAAAGAACACCATCTCACAGTCATCATAACACACTCACACATCTTTGTGAACATGTGCCAGACAGCTGTCTGCAGAGCAGATGCCGACTGCTTAATAACCACAGCAAATACCCTACATCATTATGCCACTGCGGCTCCAAGATTCTCTTAACAACACCATCACTCTACTCCACAACGAAGCCCACAAAGCTTTGCCCCCCCAATATTTATATATGGATGGCCACAATTATATAGGCTGGAGTGATGCCAAGATTAGGCCCGGGCTATACATGACAATTGGCAGGTGTGACAGACATGACCATGTAGGGATGGATAAAAATAGGCAGAACAAAATGTTGTAGGTACAATCACATCACATTCATTATACAACACACACAACACTGAATAGCATATAACAGCAATAAAGCACATAGCACAGCAGTGCATTCCTTCACTACCTTTTGCCTTCGTTACAGCTTCTGTTCTTTTCAGAAGACTCGCTTTCAGTTATTCTAAGAAATTTGCAGAGATGTTCTTCCACACCTCCAAAGTTCAGTCTTAGAAGTTGGTCACATTATTTTCTTTTTACGATCCAGAATAACGTCAATCACAAATTTAGACTAATCAGTCCATAAAACCTCCACATCTCAGATGTTAAGTTTCAGTGTTCTTCATATTTGTCTATTTCGTTTTTTCTCAGTAACAGCTTCTTGTCAGCTACACATCCTTTCAGACCCATAGTTTTGAGTTGTCTTCTCACAGTGGAAGGATGGACAGAAACACCTGTGGAGTTTTTCAGATCTGAAGCAACAGTGGAGCCTGATTTTCTCCTCTCTCTCTCAAAGACTTTCTCCTTTCTTATGCAAGTGGATATTCTTATATCTAATCCCCAGAAATATGTCCTTTGGTCATTTTAGATGCACATGAAAAAGAAATCAGCATGGCAACTAAAGTGAGTTTAAGTAGTTGTGTAAATGTTAGCATCTCTTTGAAGGGTAACAGAGTTAAAGTGGCAGCAGGGTGCACAGATATATGACAACTGACATAAATGTGTGTGTAGGTTTGTGTCAGTTGTCATGAAAGGCTTATGTAGGTACCATGTATTCTTGTGAATGTAGCCTTGCCTTTTAGTATACACACACAGACACATCTATGCCGATTATCCTCCTGGGTCATGAGGGGTGCTGGAGCCTATCCCAGCGGTCATAGGATGGAAGGCAGGAAACACCCTGGACAGGCTGCCAGTGCATTACAGCGTAGACAGACAAACATACACTTTCACACACATTCACACCCAGGGCCAATTTAGCGTCTCCAACTGGCCTGACTGCATGTCTTTAGACTATGAAAGGGAACCGAAGCACCCGGAGGAAACCCACAGAGACATGGGGAGAACATGCAAACTCCACACAGAAAGGACGCTGGTTGCCCGGCCGGGGAATCAAACCCAGGCCCTAGTTACCTAAATATATATTTATATAAACATGTAAGTTGTTACAGAGGTGTTAGGTGATGTGTTAATAAAGAGCTATAGTGTTGCTAAATATATAGCTTATGTGACGAAACAATAGTTTCATGCTATATAAGCACCTATCTTGTTGGAATACAAGTGGAGCTGCTGGGACGAAACTTGTTACAGAAACAAGCCAGCCACTGGCGCCGGAGCTTAACATTTGAACAGGAGTGAGTATTATTTACCCCAGCCCACCTCTCCCCTGAGCCCTCCTCTCCGTGCTTCACCAACACACTGTGTGACAGGGATTTCTGGCGGCCTTCAAAGTCCGACAAGGGTCGCACGCAACACAAATGAGGTCATGGGGTGAAGTCACAGCCCTGGGACGATGGACCATTCCCATATCTCCTTCACTCCTCTCCTCACAGCTACACACACACACACACACACACACCTCCCCTTCTCTTTTCAGTCCTTTTTTTCCCCCAGTATAAATAATTCAGCTAGTAGCTTTGAAAAACAGAGTAGAACAGCATAGCGGCAGAGCTGATGGAGGAGGCAGCGCAGTGGAAAATCAATTATGTGCTAAATTTGATTAAAGGCAAGCCCATGCCAGGAGATATGATGTCCTTCAAGACTCTGAGTATGTGGCTATGCGTGTGCCCTCACATTACACATGACGTGAACTGCGCAAATAAAACACTCAGCAGCAGACATTGCCTACCAATTTGACCTCAAGTGCTTTTGATGGTGCTATTGAACAGCAGACGCGTATGTACCCTTACTGTCTGGCTTTCATGCTATAGAAGTCCCAGTAAACGTCACCTCCGCCAAGAGTCAGTAAATGCGGAGAGCAAGATTCTGAAGACAATACTGCAAGATCTGCTTGTTGTCACAAATCCATCGTAACCCCTTAAGTATGGATGTCCTGATCAGATCTAAAATGTTGGTATCGGAGCCAATCAAGATAAATGCTTAAGGAATAAGCCTTGCCTACAATAAGCCTGATCCAATTCCAGTTCTTAACGCTAGTTAACTCCACTTTGCGCAATTTATGCCACTGTCAGAGAGGCGAAAAACAGATGTTCTCCACAAGTTAACAAGTCTTTCTGTAATGATACGTATTTTACATTGGACAGTGGAAATAACCTGCCAGACTCTTTATCACCTGCAATACCAGTGTTTCGTCTGCAGCTAAAGGAGAATTTCGCTTATTCAAAATTTCTGCATAATTATGCACAATGTATGGTTTGATGTAGAGAAACTGACTGACTCAAACCGCTTTAAAATAGTGGTGATAGGAACCAGGGGTCACATCTACAATGCAAATATAGCCATGTTACTTACTATCCAAAAACACCAGTGCACCTACACATCTTGTGAGTCGTTTTATGTAAGGCTGATGATGCTAAAATAGTGGTAAACATAAAAATATATGTTATTTTTTGGTACTATTTTGCCAGCCTTAGTCTCTACCATAAAGTGTAAGGCTAGAAGTGACCTGCCTCTTATTTCAGCCAATCGGTTAGCGCCAAGCAGCAGTTCTCCCTCGATGCAAGTTCAATAAAATAGCAAGTGCAATGTTTTATTTTCTGATGCTACAGTAGCATATTCATGAAATGTAAAAGTAGTGAAACGTGAAAGTAGTGAAACATGACAGTAGCGTAAACTTTGTATTTCATGAATTACCAAAAAAGCTAATTCATAAAATCTGAAAGCAGCTTATATTGATGAAATAGAAGTAGCACTTACATGAAATGCGAAAATAGCATATTGATGAAATGTGAAAGCAGCAGATTCATAAAATACAAATGTAGCATGTTTATGAAACACAGTTTTAGCATGTTCATAACACACAAAAGTTCATAAAATTCATGTAATATAAATGTAGTGCATTCCTGAAAAACAAAAGGAAAATATGACAGAAAGCAATTTTATGAATTACAGAAGCGGAATATTCATGACACTATAAAGGTAATTTCAAAAGTTATTATAAAGAAACGCCATACATAATTTTACAAGTAATGAAGTGATTTTACTGTAGCATTATAAAAAGAAACTAGCTACCCTGCTGAAAAAAAAGAGAGGCAGGTCTAAGCTGGTCTGGTGCTGGTTCAGCTTATCACCTAGCATGCTAATGCTGTTTGACCAGCATTCCAGCATTCAAAACACAACATATACTGGTTTTGGTGGTGATCAGCATATCAACCTCTATTACTGCTGACTCTATCAGATATGTAATAATAAATGACACACTTGACCTGGACATCCTTACTGAAAACCAACATGTCTATGAGTGAGTGTGTGTATAACAGACACACGGATCACTTAGACGAGTACATTCATGGCACGTCTCGAACAAAAGCTCTGATGAGCTCTGCCATTTGAGGCCTTTCTTTTTTTTGGCCGGCCAGCAGCCGACCAAAAAACAGGCAATCAATCTCTCTCATGCGGAGCGGAGGATCTGCTAGCAGCAGGCCTTTATTAAAGAAACATGGCGTTCAGGTCTCTTTGAGGTTAAGCCCCGGCATCACTTATTCATACCTGTGGTGCCGGGGGATGCGGGATTTAGACCAAATACTGCACAGAGGCCAGAAACCGCCTTCACCCACAGGGGCCTACTGTAGATGACTGCTGTGGCTGGGAGGTGGGATATGGTACCTGCACTGCATATATCACACCTACAACAGCCACGTCTAAGAGCAAGGATGCTGACCTTGACTTGCAGAAATCACAATCTAATAAATAGCTACCAATGAAATAAACTAATTAATAAACAAACAAGGTTTTCAGATGGCCAATGTAGAAACCGGCATTTTTAAGTATTAATAATCAATTAGTAAGAAGCAATTTGTTTATTATTCAAACAGTCATTGGTAGCGCACTTATCAAAAGGGTTCACTATAAAAATGTGATATAAAATAAAATCCAATGCTTAACTTAGAATGACAGTGACATTTACAATAATAAATTTTCATATATGAAGCTTTAGGTTTTGATATACTTTACTGCACACAACTGAAGGTGATGTGAAACGTGACTGAAATACTAGAGGTTACTGAAAAAAAACA